TGATCCTCATCATACTATGAAACCCTTTGAGGTAGAATCAATGGCGACCACGGTGCGACTCCATAACACTCGTTATTGCTTTTACCTGATCTCCATGAAATAGTCGATATTGCTCGGCTCACGTTTCCTTCTCTTGGGTATGGCCGGTGGTTCAGGTAAAGCACCACCACCGCGCAGTCATCAGCTTTAGAGGCTGGAAACTTTGTTCTCCATGTCCGAGCGGCTCGCTGAATCAACGTGTCTGCTGCCATTGACCTATCCTTACAGGAACCTACAATCTTCACCACTTCTTCGTTTGACAAAACATCCCAAATCTGTTCTCCAAAACACACATAGAAACCTTTTAAGAGACTTGAGGTCTTTTTTCCATCAAACGCATAAGAAAGAAGACTGAGAAATGTCGTTAGAGTTGTTTACCCCATCGGTGGCTAGAACCACAAACTCGTCTTCTCTACTGATTTTTCTGCAAAAGACTTCAGGAACGCAGAGCAGTCCATAGTCTTTGAGGCAGAAATCACCAAAAGCTCTTGACATTGCGAGCCCCGGACAATCATCATCAGGCATCCACACTCTATACACATCGGGTTCCTCCTCCATAGCAAACACCCTTCCGTTGCATGACATTATTCTCTCTGCTTCGCCTGTTGAAAAGAACGGAAATTAAGCAAGACAAACTTCTTCATGGGATTTTACTTACATGTCCAACTCAACATGTTATACTTTTATAAGAGGTAATTAAGTCTAAAGCTTAGAGAGAGAAAAACGTGTAATAATCTGCTGAAGAAGGAGAAGAACTAACGTTGGACACACGGTTTTAGATCAACAGTGAGTTGGACAGCATTGAAATTGTTCTTGCTTCCTCGGGTGCCAAGAACGGCTCTTGAATCTCCCAAGTTGGCGATCACCAAGCAGTCACCCTGAAATGTTTGACGAAACAACTTTCAATCCCTTTTGATGAACTGTCTTGAGACTTGTTTTCAAACTCTTACATTAGAAGAACCTATAAAGCTCAAGAGACTGATGGTTTACCTGTTTAAGGACGGTTACAGCAGTTGTACCGCTGCAAAAACTATCATAAGGAGAGTCAAGACCAAGTTCGCTGTCTATTTGCTTGAAGAATGTCACTAGAACATCCTCGCATTCACGGAAGAGTACCTCCTGACTCTCTTCCTGACTTTCTGAACTATTATTATTCTCCACGTTTTCATTGCTGCCAGATTTTGAAGATCTGATTTTCGAATGGACCCTTGACGGTAAATTTTCACATACGTGACGAGAAATCTTGTGACCCATAGGACCGTGACCATCAAATACACCACAAAATATCATATCTTCCTCCCCACCAAAGTTCTGAAACAAAGTTTAAGATGAAAATATGATTGGTCAAAATGTTTAAAATCCCATGTAATAGCAGAAAACTAAGAAAGCAAAAGCAGTTATGGTCACAAATGCTAGCTCCTGAAACCTAACCAAGAGAACAGGAAACAAATGAAATGACCCAACAGGAAAAAAATAAACACTGTTAAAACTCTTACCTCCCAGACCGTCATGGCGTCTTGATTTATCCCTTTTTTCCCTTGTTTGATTGACATGGAAACGTGTTTGGATGATCCACGCGACCTTACAATAGCCCCATCATTTGTGTCCCTAACCTCAGCCTCTCCACCTCCATGTTCGTTATCCGTGCCACTCTCCACAATTAATCCTGTGCCTTTGCTACAACAGACCCCCATTTAGACTGCAAGAGACTAGTATGCAACGAGAAACAAAAACAGGGCAAATCTACAAAGATATCTTTATTCTTTGGGGAAAATGGGGACAAGATTTCCGGAAACACGTGTGGTTAGGTCCTGCGGAAGAAGTAATTGAAGGGAGGAGAGCAGGGAAGAAATGAAACAATCAGATAGTTGCAGAAAAATAAATTTTCCATGGGGTCGGCTTGTGAGGCCGTACCGGGGAAAGAAGTCAAAGGAAGAGGAGAGGAGGATAAAGAAGGGACACAAGAACAGACAATCATGAAAGAAACCTTATGAGAGGAATGATTACTAGATCAAACAACAGATTACAATAACACAAAATGGCAATTATCTTTTCTTGAAGCTTAAATTGAAAATTATAATGGAAAGGTCAAAAGGGTTTTTCTCAGATGAACAAAAAAACTGCAA